GAGACCTGTGAGGAAATGAAAAATAAATTTTCATTAGAGCTTTTGGGTTTAAAAATGGTTTTGTTTTATAAAGTACGGAAATATTATAAGAGATTTTACTTTCAATAGATTGGATGTGAAACTTCCATGACAAGAATTACGCCTAAAAAGTTAACAATAGATTCCCTTTTTACATTTGTTTTATTGAATAAAAGATTTGGCAGTTTAAGTGGAATATTTTCAACTTTATTTGGTTTGTGGAACAGGATGAATTTAGTTTTATCTACATTTAGTGAAACGCGGTTACTTATAAACCATTCATTTACTTTAGATAACTCTTCATTAAAAATTTTAAAATAAATTTTTATATCTCTGTGTGAATAAAACAGATTGGAATCGTCAGCAAACAATATAAGATATGCTTTTTTAGATGCTAAAAATAAGTCATTTATATACACTAGAAACAATAATGATCCTAAAATAGATCCTTGAGGAACCCCGCAACAAAAAAAAAACAACAAAGTTTTTTTTTGGTTTCATTTGTTTCATAGGTTATGCATTGTTTTCTGTTAGTCAAGTAGTTTTTAAACCAAAGTAAGTTTAAGTTGTTTACCCCATAAAGTTCTAATTTTTTTATAAGAATTTCATGATTGACAGTGTCATCATAATCTTTATCAAACGCATCCGATATATGGTTTACAAGCTCAATTACCGCGTAATCCGTAGCTCAATTACCGCGTAATCCGTAGAATGATTTTTTTAAAACTCAAATTGTTTGTTTTCAAACAGAAGATTATTTGAAACTAAATGATTATAAAGCCTATTGTACATAATGCGTTCTTGCAATTTAGAGAAACAAGGTAATACAGAAATAGGTTTGAAGTTTGAACCATTTGTTTTTTCACCTGACTTGAAAACCGGTGTGATTTTGGCTATTTTAAGTTTGTCTGGTACAATACCAGACGTTAATGAGAGATTAAAAATGTGAAACAATAAGGGTTCAATAATATCAAAGACTGATTTAACTACATTGACGCTAATTTTATCTATGCCTGCAATTTTGTTATTATTCAGAAATTATGCTCCTCACTTATATTTAAATTTAGTTCTGTCATAAAATTATTTGCTGTTTTGAGGTAAGTTTCAAATTTTATGGTACAAGATGGAATTTTAGTCGTCAGATTTGGACCGATCTCAAAAAAAAAACTGTTTAGCTTGTCAGCTATGGTTTCTTTATCATAAACAACTTTTTCATCAATTAATAGTTTTTTTGGCAAATTGTTTTTAATCGAAATATTTTTGCCAATTATTTCTTTGATTATATTCCAAGTTTTTTTTGAATTTCCATTACTTTTTTCCAATACCTTTTCATAATAAGATTTTTTTGAAAATTTTTTGGTTTTTTCAAACAAACTTTTGTAGTTTTTGTATATTATTTCATTATGATATGTTTTATGTCGTAGATATTTTTCATATAGTTTTTTTTTTTTTGAAGATTTGATTAAACCTTTTGTCATCCACGGATTCAAAATAGACTTAGAATTTAAATTTTGTTTGATTAAAGGAAATGCCTTATTATATTGTTTACTTAAAAACGCGAGGAATAATACATAAACATTATTTGCATTTTGTGTTTCATACACTAAGTTCCAATCAACAGAATTTTGTAATAGATGGCGAAAATGTACTATGAAGTTTTCATTGATTTTACGGACCAATATTTTTAATTTAATGGAGTTTTTTTTTTTGTTAATTTTTTAGGTGCCCCAAGAAGTCCTTGCGGTCTTATCACAGAGCACCGCGGAAGAGCATTTAATAGGAAGTTCACGCCTCCTTCCCAACCGATGTCACAAAACTTGCCCAGAGGTGGGGTTTGAACCACGGATCTTACGTTTCTGAGGCAAGTGAATTGTTTTTTAATGTTATGTTTTTAGTGGTTAGAAAGATAGGAAAATGATCACTTATGTCAGTTTTAATTATGCCTGTACACAGCATTTGTGAAAGTTATTTGTTATTAAGTTGTCGACTAATGTTGACGATGTCTTTGTTATTCTTGTTGCCTTATTTATTGTTGGAATAAAATTATATTGCAAAATGGTGTCAATAAAGCATTTAGCATCAATTTTTGATGCATAATTTAAAATGTTTATGTTAAAATCTCCAACTAAGTATACATGTTTCCGATTTTTACTGGTTTGTGTTAGAAAATTTTTATAGTTTAATTTGAAATTTTTTAAGTTTCCAGCTGGTTATCTATAAATAGAGTTTACGAAAACATTTTTTTCCTTTTTATTTATTATTTCATTGCATAACGACTCACAATCAGTTTCATTCAAACAAAGATCATTACGCTGAATAAAATTTAATGAGTTGTGAATAAAAATACTCACCCCACCACCAGCATGTTTATGACGCGATTGATGAACCGATGCATAATTGGCTAATTCAAATCGTGCGTTTTCTTCATTGTTTTTAAGCCACACTTCTGTAAGGCGGATAATTTTAAAAAGTTTTCAAAGTTTTTACTCATACTCCGAATGTTCAGAGTAAATATTGAGAAAGTATTATTGTTCTGAGAAAGAAAATGAGTAGATTCAGAAATTGAAAATGACTTAGTTTCAAAGCTTTTTTCACAAAAAAAAATTTTATTATCACTTAGCTTTAAATCTTCGTAGTTAAATTTTGTAGAAAAGTTTTCCGCCATTTTAAAAACATTAAATTTTAAATAAAACAAAGAAAGAACAACGTAATATATATACATGAATAAAAAAGAGTTAAAATATAACGAACCTAATTATTTTATCGATTGGAGGCCCAATCACGTATGATCGTGCGATATAACAGCGTATTTCCCAGATGTTCGTTCTACTTTCATCTTTTCTTTTAAAGCTCTTCTTATTTGTTTGGTCTCCGGACAAAAGTCTTCATTGATGAAAATATTTTTTCCTTTCAGATAAAAAGATTTTTTAAGAATTTCTGTTTTATCTTTGAAATCCAAGAGTTTTAGTACGATTGTTTTTGGCTTTTTTGCCAGTTCTGTGAGCTCGTTTTATTTTAACACTCTTTACATCTAGATAATCTTTTAATAATTTTTTTACCTTTGATTTGGTCTCTTCCCAGCTTTCGTTTTCATTCTCTTTTACACCGTCTATTCTTAAGTTATTTTGTCTCGAACGATCTTCCATTTCCCTTAACTTGTTTTTTATATTAAGGAATTCCGAGTTTAGTTTAGTTGTTTCACTACCAGATGGATTTATCATTTCCTGATAACTAATTGCAGTTTTTATTTTAGCATCAACAAGCTGTTCATGAAAAATTAAGCTTAATTTATTTCTTCAACATCTTTTATTATTGACTTAACTCGTTTGACATTGTCGATTATATTTTTTTCAACTTTATCTAAGCGATCATGAATTATTTTTGTGCTTGAACTTACAATGGCTAGAATGTTTATTTCTTGTTGCTTTAAGATTTCTTCAAATTGTTTTTTGTAATCACTAAACATCTCCTTCAATATTTTTTTAATCTCATCTCAAGTAACTGCCATAATTAAATTATATAATTGATAAAATCTCAATTCAATTATTTTGATAAAATCTTATTACATAGTTACTAAAATGTATCAGTTTGTATTTTTTCTGTAGTTTTATTATTAAACTATTATTTAAAACTTTTTTTTTTTTTAATAACAACTTTTCAGATTAAAACAAAATTTACGCAATAAAAAAAACCCGTCCGTTTACTTTCAGAAGGCGAGCAAAAAATTCAAATTGCCGAAATGTGTAATCTTTGTGCAGTAATTTACAAACCGGTCTTTAAATTTTGCAATAAAATCAAAATGATGTATTTTTCAGATTCCATGATTCCATTATACATACCCGACGGGCATTTGTTTTTAAAAGTTACGTTCTAATGTGTTTTAAACGTCTTTTAAACATTAATGTTTAAAAGGCGTTTTAAACATTGTTTTTAACAGTTTATAAACAGTTGTTTAAAACAGTCTTTTAAACATTAATGTTTAAAAGACGTTTTAAACATTGTTTTAAACAGTTTATAAACAGTTGTTTAAAACAGTCTTTTAAACAATAATGTTTAAAACAAAAACGTTTAAAAGACGTTTAAAACACATTTAGAACGTAACTTTTAAAAACAAATGCCGGTCGGGTATTTGCATATTTTATATTTTATTTTCTTAAAGTTGTTTAATCACCATGAAAAATTTCAAGTCAAAAATAAAAACGATTCAAAAGTTATGAAAAAGTCAGTGAGAACCTAAAAATGTATAAATTAGTTAAAAATCTGTAAAATAGGTGATTCTAGAGAATCCCGAAAAATTTACAAAAAATTTTTGGAATTTTATTTTTTTATAGTTAGTAGGTCACAATAGAAAATTCCACGTCAAATGTATCAACTTTTAAAAAGTTATTCAAAAGTCAGTATGACCCCAAAAAAATATAAATTTGTAAAAGGCCTTAGTCTGTAAAATAAAAAAAATAGTGAAATAGATTCTGATCATTCCCGACTGATTTAAAAATAAATAAATTTGGAATTTTTTTTTTTTAAGTTGGTTGGTCACTATGGGAATTTTGGTGCAATAACCAACCCAATTTTCCATACTTAAGCCTTACACCTTTTGTAAAAAAATCATCAATTTTTCCACTACAAAAAAGTTCAATAACGTTTAATCCGCATAACTTCAAAATCCAAATGACCCCTCATTTTACATCTACAATTAATAACTGGAATGGCGTTAACCCTAATACCATCTTTTAATCCATTTTTAGGATCCTTAATTAGGGTTTTTCTTCGTTCCAAAATCTGAACAACAGCAATTGTTCTATAAACCTGTTCTTCAGAATAAAGTAGAGCAGCAATAAAACTTTCAGGTTGGAGACAAAAAGAGTTTCTATAAATTATGGCCAATGTAATTTTGAACTTCAGTATCCAACATCAAAATCCGCCGAATAAATGCTTTTGCAATCCAATCTAATTGTCTTTATATTTAAAACTTTAGATTGCTCAAAACTAGCATTAAAGCATACTCGCTCTTTCTCTCTCTTCATTTTACTTGGGTCAATTGCATCATTAAGATGTAGATAACCAATATCTTGAAGTAGAGCATTAGCTACAGGGGCAGCTGCTTTATCTGATATTCCATATCTAATTATCTCTAAAGCAAATTTGAGATAGTGGGTAGTGTTATAGTACTTTGATCTAGTCTGATTTAATGATGAAATTGAAGTTTCACACTGTAATTATAGAAAAAAATACAACAAAACTTCCAGAAATTAAAAATCATAACAATTAAAATTTTACATTTAATTGTATTAACATTTAAGATGCTCTAATTAACTATAGAGCATTATATATAAAAGAATTAAGAAATTTAAGAATTTATATAGTTTTTATCATACAATCAAAGTTTACAGGTCAAAATTTATTACCTGATCTGAATCCATGATTGTGTCAAACTCTTTAATATAAATTTCTTCATCAGAAGCTTTTGTTTGCTTTGTATTTCTTGAGGTAGGTTATAAAACAGAGTTATCAATACCTCCTATTTGAAACTTTTCTTTAGTACCAATTTTCTCCCTTTGGTCTTTTAAATAGGAGCGCTCTTCCAAAGGAACCTAAATAAATATTTCTGGTTTTAAATATTATTTTCAATTAATTTGTGTAAAACGTATTACTATCAAAATATAAAAAATAATAATAAAATATAAAAAAGTTTATCAATAAAAATTAAATAAGTTGTTTAAAGTTTAATTTAAAATAAATTACTTTAAATTTGTTTAACTTACTTTTGTACTACCAACACAACTACAGTAAAGATGCACATTTGAACAACCTGAGCATTTGATATTCCTGTCATCACAAGGAAAAGCTTCAAGCTTGCAGTTACATGCTATTAGATCAAAAAGTTTTTTCTTTATTTTTTTCAAACAATTTTTTGGTCAAAGGTTTAATTTTAATTCTATTCCGAGAAATAACATTATTATAAAATCTTAAAAGTTTAACAATCAAACATTTTTCAGGTAACAAAACTAATTTGGAATTGCAATTGAACCATACAGAGGCGGATGAAAACATCTTGGGGCCCGGGGCTATTTTTGTTTTTGGAGGCCTTTTTATAGAGCAGAGCCTAAAAATGACATAAAAAAAAGGGAAGGTCCTCTAAAATTTTTTGGGGCCCCTAAAACAGCGGGGCCAGGGGCTATAGTCCCTCTAGCCTCCCTTGATTCGGCAATGGAACCATTTTTCTTTTAAACTACAAAGCGTTCTTTGAATAATAACATTTTATTCTATAATACCATCTAAATCTTTTAATTTGTAGAAAAATCTTGCTACATCACCGTAAGTTGCTAGATCTGTAATAAGAAGATCAGAAGGGCTACCACCATATAAATTACACCGTCTAGTACTTTTTACAGGAGGCATTTTTTTATTATTGTAATAAATTAAGTTTGTTAATATAGTTAATATATATTAAAGATTTTATAACTCCTTAAAAATAACAGAAAAACGCTTTTGCAAGGTTCGATCTACAATTTGATACTCTACTTTTTGGTTTATTTACATTTTTTTAAGGCCGGATGTCATAATACACAGGGTGTCGACTCAAAACAAACTTAAAAAAATGTACAAAACTATTTTTAAAAAACTCAATTGAATAACTGGAAAATGTGTTTTTTATAATCATTGAATCAATTATGCACAAAAAATATATTTTTCAGTATTTTTAGTATGCCTTTCAAAACAGTCCTTTCTAGTTCTTTCAGTTTATCCAGCAGAGTGAACACCCCGATTTATCCAATAAAAATGGCAACTTATAAGAAATTATTTAAGTTGGAATTTTAATGCATATTTTTAAAATAAGAAAGCTTCTACTCAACTTTAAAAGTTACTTTTTTCGCTAAAATTCCTATTATTTTATAAGATAATTACTCCAGCTTGAAGTGATAAATTTCCAGAAATTGCTGCTGTCTAATGGGCAGTTGAATTATTAATAACACTAAACCTTGTTTGTTTTTCATTAGTAAAATAAACTTTTATTTTAACTTTGTCAAACAAAGTTATTAAAATAAAAAACTTTATAAAGATGCACGTGAAAAATATATATTATTGGCTATAAATTCAACTTGTTCAGATTTGATTCAAAGAAGTCAACAAAATAAGGAATTTCGTGAAAATAGTTACTTTTGTCAAAAAGTGCTTAAATGTGTGGTTTAGACTTTTGATTTAAAAATGTTTTCAAATTATCACGAAAATAAAAAAACATGTTTTAAAACTTTGCCTCTAGACAACCCCTTCACATCAGTGTGAAATAACATAATATTATTGAATGCTACGTAAAGCACAATCTTATACGATAATCACGCCATTTACAATGTTTTTCAGAATTTCTTGAAATTCTTGTAGCAAAGATTTAATTGCTAATTGTACAGTGAGTTTCGATGACAGCCAGCCATAAAACCTAAAGGTCATATTAACAGAGTAAATAACTTTGAATCAATCATAAAGTTTTTATTAAAATTTTATCAAATTAATGGCTTTAAATTGATTGCAAAAGTAAATAAAATATAATTTCTTTAAACATATCAACTTAGTAATACAGTAATAAATCGTAATTCAGTAAAAAAACTTAGTAATAGTAATAAATCATTTTAGAGAATTATAGTGATAAAATTATAAACCTAAGTTGAAAATAAAATATACAAAAAAAACATGGTCTCAGAAATTGATCATTTTCACAAAATTAAATTTTTTTAAAAATATGTTTTTGTACACAAGTTTATGTCTACACCATAAATCAAAAGAGAATTATACTCAAAAAAAGAAGAAATAAAAACAAGAGTCACTTGATCTGAAACCATCTAAATTACTTTAAAATTTGATATACATAATTAAAAATAAATTTAAAATTGAAATTTTATAAAAACTAAAAAATCAGAAAAATAAATAGTAAAAGTATTCTCAAAAGTTTTATTTTTCGTGAAATTTCATATAACCACTTTTTTGAAACTCTTGTTAATACATCTGCTTTGTTTTTAGAAGACGGAACCCACTTCATTATGCTGTTCGTACTGTATTCCTTTATTAAATCACGCAATAATGAAAGTCTTCGTTTGATAAGCATTTTTGATAGTCCATTTGACCGAACCCTATGACTTTCAGTCAGCACACTTTTCAACCATCCATGAACCAAGTCGGTAAATATCAATAGGTTCTTGATGTCCCACTTAACAGCTAGGTTTATTCCACGCACCACAGTATCTAATTCGGCCGTATTAAAATGCATGACATCATTTATACTTCGTAGCCATGCTGCATCCTCAACTATTACGCCGTTAAATTCAATTGCAACACCCATTGCAATACTACTAACATCACACCACAATATTGCTCCATTTTGAATACCATCAGCATTCCATGTCCCTTTTACAGGATCACTAGCTTCCAAACGGCGCATTATTTCGACCAACCATGACTGTGCTTGATCTCCTATTAGATCATCTTTAGCATCTCCATGACTATAACGTTTTGTAAAACTGCAGGCAAATCTGAGCCAGTTTCTAATTGGATAGTGTCCAATAAAGTGACCACATATTGAAAACAATCTCTAACGTGTTATTTTTTCATTTTCGATGTCTTCTGACTTTGAAATGATATTGCCGCGTTTCCAACAAAGCACTTTATAATCGTTTCTAAATATTTGCTAACCCAAAACTCGTGCACCATCACATTCTTCCGGCTCTTTTTTTAACAAACCATACCGCTCCAAATAATTTACGACATTTTCAACCGATGTCTTTTTCAAATCAACGATTATGTCGTCGATATAATGGTCAGTTGCTTCACCAATACCTGCATCAAGACTTAGCACTTTGCCTAAGATTGACGACATAATCTTTGAAGGAAATTACGACATGATTATACTAAGCATTTGTAAACACTATTAAATTATAATAGCGTTTACAAATTAAACACTACTCTTTAGAAAAATTAAAAACAGTTTCTAAAAGAATCTTACTTCAATTTTTTTTTTTTTTCTTCCGTGAACACTTTAGCGAACGGACGTGTTTATTATTGGCTAATAAAAATATTACTCAATTGCTCAATTAAAAGAAATTATGGATATTCACGAAAACACAATAATGAAGTTATTTAGCGATAGGATTGATAAACTAGAAAGCAAAATATTAGTTATGCAGTAAGAAAATAAAAATTACTATCGGATATAGATGTTTTTAAAAAAACAACAATGCCATATCAATTGAACGATACAAAAATGAATTTAGGAAACGATAACGTTATTTAAGATAAGTTGGCTGAACTTGAAGATAGGAGTCGCCGAAATAATTTGAGATTTAATGGTATAGAAGAAAAGGAAATTGAAACCTGGCAAGAAACTGAAGGTAAAATAAAAGAACTTTTAAAAAATAAATTGGGACTAAATGGTAATATTGAAATTGAAAGAGCTCATAGAGTTGGAAAAAAGGAGTTGGGTGATAAAAGGAAAAATAGAACTATTGTTGTAAAATTTTTAAGCTTTAAAGACAAGAACGCGATTTTGGAAAAGTTCGTAAAGGCTAAACTCTGGAAAGAAAATGTGTTTATAAATGAAGATTTTAGTTAACGTACTATGGAAATAAGAAGAAAGTTATTTGCGGGTGCAAAAGAGCTACGAAGAAAAGGAAAGTATGCTAAGGTAACTTATAATAAATTATTCACACGCGATTTTAAGTAAATTTTATTTTCATTTCATAGTTATAAAATTATTTAAATTCTAAATTCTAAAATGAATTCAAACCAACAAAATAGTTTCGAGTCAAGTTTATTTAACTTTTTTCAAACTAATGATTTTTTACTTGATAATGAATCCGATCCTGACATAAATTATTTTAGTGAAGCAGGTGTTCTGCAAAACTGCTCTTATTTTTATAACAATGAATTGAAAGATTTTCTTAAAGGAGATTTTCTTTATGTTATTCATTTTAATATAAGTAAAATTTTGATGATTTTCATAGTAATATAGAAGAAACTTCTAATATTTTTAACATAATATGAATTACAGAGACATGGTGCTGCTCTGACGATGTTAAAATTCAAATCTCCATCTTCTAGGTTTTAATTTAATTTCTTTAGCGCGTAAAAATAAAAAGCAAGGTGGTGGTATTATTTTTTTACGTGAATGAATGCTTGCGGTTTATTAACAGGCCAGACCTAAGTATTTCTGATGGCGATAAAGAGATTTTAAGTATCGAAACTTCAACTAAAAATACCAAAAATATAATTTTAAGTTGTTGTTATCGCCCACCAAATGGCGTAGTTAAGAATTTTAATGCATTTTTACATAATTATATAATTAAAAAAAGGAAATTAAACTACATAATTGGTGGTTTTAATTTAAATTGCTTTGAATACCATACTAATAATAACATTAAAAAAATTTACAATGGCATTTTTGAAATTGGAGCGATACCGTTAATAAATAAGCCTACCAGAATATCATCAACATCATCATCTATATTAGAAAATATAATTACAACTGACGTTTTTAACTTATCTTTAAAAAAAGTTATTATTAAAAGTGACGTCTTTGATCACTTTCCTATTTTTTTCTCCATAAACACAGACATCAAAATAATTCTACACCAAAATAAACCTTTCATTAAACGTTTTTTTACGGAAGCGAGTTGCATTGCTTTTAAGGAACAATTATCTTTACTTCACTGGAAACACATACATTCTAATGATGCTAATTTAGCCTATAATTTATTTTTAAAAACATTTTTTTTTTAATTATGATATTAATTTTCCTCAACATAAAATACTAAAAAAAAAATAAAGCTTTCACGTCACCATGGATTACAAAAGATCTC